CTGCGGCTACAGCCCGGAGGGGCCCACAGGACACCAGGTAAGGCTGCTGGGGCCAGCTCAGTGCTAGCCTCAGCCTTCCTTACCACACCCAGGGTAACTTGCTGCGTGCCAGAGGGTGTGTGGCACAGGCATTCCCCAGGGACAACTGGTGGTGGCATGAGGTGCACCGCTGCTAGTTGTCTCCAGGGAACCAAACATCCATGCACGTGTGGATGCGGCCTAAATGGGCAAATGTTGGGTGTGGGAAGCCAGCATATGGAGACAAAATGACCTGCTTAAGGTCAGACAGCAGTTCAGTGGCAGAGCTAGGACTAAACCCCAGGTCTCCCAAATCCCAGTCAAGCTGTGTTCTCCCTCGGTGCATAGCTACTTCTCTCTGTTCCTCTTTATAACCCACCTCTTTTCTGCACTCTCTCTGTTCGCTTGCGGGCAGATTGTCCTGAAGTATCACACTTGCCTCCATTGACCTGTAAGCTCCTCAGACTTGAATGCCTCCTTGTCCAGCCAGAAGCCACGACCACTTCATGTGCTCTGGAGAAAGCCTTATGGCAGTGGCTTGCCCTTGAATGCCCCGCTCAGTGCACAGATGGTGGTGCAGGGAGGAGGGCCAGGGGTGTCCGTGGCAGCCCTCCTAACCTCCCTTTTACTGTTGGGTGACTTCAGACAATTATCTTTCCTTCTCTGCGCCTCAGTTTCCCCATCTGTAAAGTGGGGATAATGATGATGACCTTTAAGGCACTGCTGTGTGGGGTAGAGGAGAGCTAAGTATTGATTAAACATGGATTGCAAAATTTCAGTGGCGGGAGCTGTGCAGGTTGCTGTGTGTTCAACTACAGGGCAGTGTTAGGCTTCTGACTCAGCGTCTTATCTGTTGGGGAGACAAATGGGTGTCATGTGCCATGGGAAATGCAGCATTTCCAGTACAGTCAGGTTTTTAGCTTGAACCCTGGCAGACTTCAGAGATGTTGGTGCCTGAAACCTGTGTCCCTGGGAAAGCTATATTATGCCATTTAATTGACAGAGCAATCTCAACCCATTCTACCTAGAGCTGATCAGCATTTTTCCAGCAAATGAGTTTTTGTCACAGTGAACTCATCCTGACTTCAGCCTCTTGGATTTTCATGGAAACTTTTTGAATTTTTCACAATGTTTCAGAAAGTTTCAGTGAAAATCATAAACAACAACAAAAAATAGCTCTGTATTTGGCTTGTGCAGTAGGTGCTGTTTTTTCCCTCACTGTCTCTGTTTTAAGACTGTTCTTTTTATTGGGAAGATGGTTATTTGTTTTTGGTTTTCCTGTGGGAGCCTCTGGGGCCGTGAAGTCCTATAACGTTTATCCATTTTTGGCGTTCTTCTGTCTAACCTCAGGACCATTTATCTTAATGTCTATTTTGATTGCTTGGCTGAATAGAATACCCAAGCCAAATGAACATACTTTTTTTAGAAAATAATCTTTGAAACTAGTGTGCACAAGAAAAAAAAATATCAAGGATTTAGCAAATTAACTTCAGAAATAAATCTTTGAAATTCTTGACAGTGTGTGGGTATTTTGGCCAGGTCTTTTGGTAATGATGGCCCTGTAGGTAGCAGTCCATGGCGGGGGCTCATCTCCTTAATTTTTATTTTTTTTGTTTTGTTTTAAAACAGGGGTGGGCAATTATTTGGGCTGGAGGGCCACTTAAGGAGTGGTGAGTTTTGGTGAGCTGTTGTGGGCCTGGAGTTGGAGGTGAGGGGTGGGGTGGCAATTGATCCAATCCAGCCTTGGCCTGTCTGCTCCACACCCATGGCCAGGGGCACTGGATGGAATGAGTGGGTGGGCAGGTGGGGTCTTCATGGAGACTGGCTGGGACCCCTGCCCATAGGGCATGCCCTGGCCCCATGCTGTCACCAGCCCATGATCCTGGCCCCAGCTCCAGCTCTGGCCCCACCCGCCCATCCTTCTCCGAAACTCTGCTCTGTCACAGCCCCATCCCATCCACTTAGTCCAGCGCATCCTGCCCATGAGGTTCCCAGGCCTCTCTCTATGGAGACCCTGCCCACCTGCCTGCTCTGTCCTGCGCCCTTGGAAGAAGATGCAGAGAGGATGGGCCAGGGTGCCTGGGCAGTGGGGCCTGCGATGTCAGCAACTCTAGCAGCACAACTAGAAGGAGCCACTGCTGGGAAACTGAGTCCAGCCGCCATGCTACCCCAGCCCCGCTGTATGTCTGGGGAGTTGGAACCGGCTACATGCATCTCGGCTTGGGCTGTCCCCCGTGCCTGGGCCAGGTGGGGCCGAGGGACCAGCCACGGGCGGGATAGAATTCCTTGGCAGACTGCTTCCAGCCCGTGGGCTGGATTTTGCCCACATCGGCATTAAGACCTCATCAGAATTTCTAAAATCTCTTTCCTTCAGTGTAGAAGCTTATGCCATGGAAAGGTCTAGTGTGAGGTTTCAGTTCTCCCTCATGTAGGATGACTGACTTGTCCAGTACACCAGTCTCCAGATCCTGCTAACAGACCCCTTTGTGTGATGCCTTGCCATCCTGTGTGCTTGCTTTCTGAAAATGTTTCTCTTCCGGCATATAAACCGCAATACATCTGGAGCAATGTATGTTTTTAGCCTTCTGCGTTGGGATCTCTTTATATGTGAAGGTGGACAATAGACTGAAGGTGGGCAGTGTGTGTATTATTACACGGTCCATCTTAATTCTCTGCAATACTGAAGTAACGATCCAGCCTAAACTCCAGAAGAGATGAGCAGTCACTTAAAAGAAATGGCTCAAACTTGCCACAGTGACGTGCATGGCTCCCATTAAATACCAACCCCCGCCTTTCCTCCCTCCCTTGCCCCCAAAATAACCAAGAAGCCCAACCCAGAGATTATGTTAAAAAGCAAGATCATATGTTACCAGCTCCTTGTGTCATGTTGCAGGGTTTCAGTCTAAAGATGCTTTCTAGATGAACTAACTGTGGGGTTTGGGCACTCCCTCTCTTTCATGTGGTGTTTTTCTCTGGGACTGTTTCATTCTTTGGGAGGTACATCAATGCAAAGAAACCAGAATGTTGACCCAGACAAATGCCTGGGAGCTCTGCAGATGCTTACATTGAGCAAGTTAATGACTGGGAACAGAAACCAAGCGTACCTGTTGAGTGGCTGCCTTTGAATGCAGCATCGCATGGTATCTGCCTCTAAGGTACCTCTAAGGAGTGCAGAAGGGCACCACAGAGGCCTAGTTGTATTAGGTTGGTTAGTGTTTTGTGGCAAACTCCGCTCTGCTGAGAGAGGCTTGGAGGTGTGGAGATTGCTCCATGACATGAGTGGGGTGGGGGTTATGCTCTAATAAGGGCTTTTTGCCCTGAAATGAGGGGAGGATACATTCCCAAGGTCCTTCACTGGGCTCTTCTCAGCATCTCCGTATGTAATAGGACCAGACTATGGTCTCCCATTTTGTACACATGAGCAGCTGAGGAGCAGAGACATGCCTCGGGTTATGCAGAGGGACTGTGGTGCAGCAGGGATTTGAGTCCATTTCTCCTGAACCCTGGAATAGTCCTGGACATGACAGGCCATTGGAGACCAAAAGCTAGACAAACTCCTAAGTGATGCTAAGAGTTGGGGGTGGGTTCTTTTGGTAGGGGACCCCTTGTGCTGTTGGAGGTAGAAAACGGTTGTGCTCACGGATAGTCCCCGGTCTTCCCAGAATGCCCTGCCTCTGCATCTAAACTGCATGGGTGACTAATATGTCTAAAGGGGGCCAGTGTTTGGTGTTAGGCGTCCCAGTTGACTGTCTGCACCGTTCAGGTATCTTCAGTACGCTTGATGAAATGTGCAAGCATGTCTGCAGTGTCTGGAGCTGTGCTGCAGCTTGCCTACCCTGAGAGTTTGGTGCCTCTTAGAGGCTCCTGCCAGCTGCCTTTCTGACTGTCCTTCCCCCCACCCCTCTCTCTCTTGTAGCATGACGGGAAGCCCTTTTGCCACAAGCCCTGCTATGCGACACTGTTTGGACCCAAAGGTATGTCTGCATTCCTGACCCTTCTTCTCCTTGGCTTCCTTCCTCAGGGCTTTTATTTCCTGCACTTCCAGGGCTGCAGCCCTCCATTGAATTATTCATCGGTCTTGTCTCCTCCTGTCTTGGCTGACAGGAGGGTGTTTAGGATGCTGAAAATGGCCCAAGAATAGGATAGCGCAGGCCAAAGCTGTGTCAGGATTTTCCTTTAGGGAACCCAGCATGCCTCCAGGTCAGTGTTTCTGTTTCTTGGGCCTCCAAGCCATGCACAGAGTGGTTCTAGATCAGCAGTAAGTTTTAATGGGACGTGTTCTTTGCAGACCTGGATGTGAGATAATGCGGAAACCTTCTGTCAAGAGAGTGGAGGAATGAAGTCATGACAGTTCTCTGTTAACTAATTCCCCTTCAAGATGCAGGGAGGGTTACTGCCTCCAACTATGTCTACTCCCGGCAGATAAAATGGTCCCGAGGTAAAAACAGTGTGGGAGGCAGATAACCCTGGCTCATACATGGGAGAAGGATTTGGAGGTTGCTGTTTATGCATTTCAGGCCTGCCTAGCTGTGTGTCTTCAAAAGATCCAGTTTGAGTAAGTGTCATCCCTGAGTAAGCCAGACATAGGTGTGCTGAAGAGACAGGCAGTGCAGTCTTTGCAGCTGGTCGTGCCCCGTTGGCTTTGGCCCGCTGGGAGTCTTAGAGCCTGGAAGGGTGTCTGGGATATGACCCTATAAATGCTGCTGCTCTTGTTGCAGGTGTGAACATTGGTGGAGCTGGGTCCTACATCTATGAAAAGCCTCAGACCGAAGGGCAAACGGCTCCAGGACCCATTGAGCATGTTTCAAAGGTGGAAGAGAAGAAGGTCAGCGCCCCACCCAAAGGACCTAGCAAAGGTTGGTGCCAAAGTGATATAATGGGCTTTGGCATTTGGGCCCAGTGTACTGTTGGCGTTCTTGGCCAACAGAACTATGCCCCTGCTAGTATGGCCCCCCGGGGCTCTGGCTGCCTCACAGGATTCAATGATTTTGTGATTTGGGTCAACTCTAGCCCTCTGGGTCCAGTGTGTCCTTGTGGGCTTTGCTAAACTGGTGTGTGGGCTCTTACAGGATTGCCCTGGATCCACATTAGTCCTGTTTCTGATGCAGTGCTCTCTGCTGCCCCACAGCTGCTGGCTCCTTTCCTGGTATGCACTGCTTGGGGAGCCCTTGACAGGCACAGTGGAACAGCACCACGGGGACACTATTGGAACTATTGCATCTTATCCAGAAATCAGTTCAGAGGGGGTACCGATGGGATTGAATTGGCTCTTAAGCCTGCCAAGAGTTCATCTACCCCAGGTGGATGCTTAGGATACTTGTAAAATGTGTGGGCCCTAAAGTGCTTTGTTGGTAGCTGAGGCCTACCTTTTGGAGCTGTAAAGTTCCCCACTGGGTTTACTTATTCATCAGCTTGCAGCCTTTCTGACAGCTCTGGGTTCTCAAGTGTGTGCTTGTGTTCATCCCCAACCCTTCGAGTCCTCATGGGGTGAATGTTCTCTCAGATAATCTCTGTTTTTGAGGAGCTGGGCTGTTGCAGCAAAAGTAACAGCTGTTATAACTCAGGTCCTGTGTTCAGGTGTGGATGTACATGGATACCTACATGTGTACATTCACTCCTGAGTAGCTGATGTCTGAAGAGGCATAAGTCCCACATCAGTTTTAGCTCATTGTGTCAGCTACAGATGGGAGCTGTCTGTGCTTTGTTTCCCAGTGTGCTTGCTTTCCCTTGCACTAATGCTGTAGCACAGACAGATGCTCAAGTTGTAGAGGAAATCCTTGGAGGGGGTTCACCCCCCTGAACCTTACTACTACCTGCTTGTGGGGTGCTCTCCCTCCACATTTTACACACACACACACACACACACACACACACACACACACACACACACACACACACACACACACACACACACACACACACACACACACTCACACACCCCCGTCCTTGCTTGTTCCTCCCCTCTGTTACTATGTTATGCATTGATCCAGAGACTTGCATGGCAAGCTATCCGAGGAGAGGCTGAGGGATCTCGGACTCTTCAGCCTAAAGAAAAGAAGACTGAGAGGAGACCTGATTGTGGCTTACTGCTATATCAGAGGCGTACATCAGGGGCTCAGTGAACAACTGTTCACCAGGGCACCCTGGGGGAAAACTAGAAACAATGGCCACAAACTCCTGGAAGATCGTTTCATGCTGAACATTAGGAAAACCTTTTTCACAGCTAGGGTGTCCAGACTGTGGAATAAGCTCCCCCCAAAGGTGGTGCAGTCATCTACCCTAGAGGTCTTCAAGAGAAGACTGGACAGTTACCTGGCTGGGGTCACCGGACCCCAGATGTCTTTCCTGCTCATGCAGGGGGCTGGACCCGATGATCCTTCCAGCCCTGTGATTCTATGATTCACGGAATTGATTTTTGAATCTCCACCAAGCATGGTCCCTGCTGTAGCTCAGCATATCTCAGATGGGTTGTTGCTTTTTCAATGATAGCTTATCAGTGAGGAATGCTGGCTCTTGCTTCAGTGACAAACAACAGAGTGCCCTAAAGGGCTCTGATCTTGTTTGAGATGGCAGGGCAGGAGGGAGGATACTATTTCTTATACTGCTTGAAGAGACCAGCCCTAGTTTCTAGTGGTGGACTTTAGCCTGTTGATTCTGCAGTGGGTGAAAGCCTTTGGCTCGGGCACTGAGCAGAGCCCTCTGCCATCATGAGGTGCCAGAGTGACTGGCCAGTGCTGTCAGAAAAGCCAGATGGCCCTGGTACCATCAGGGGGAGCATTGTTCTAATTTTGTCAGGCCTTCAAACTCTTTTCTTTTTGTGTTCCAGCCTCCAGTGTCACCACCTTCACTGGAGAGCCCAACATGTGCCCACGCTGTGGGAAGAGAGTCTACTTCGGTAAGCCCTGTTTACACCCTGGTGGTGGTTTCATTCCTATGAGCTCCCAGCACAGGGCAGGGCCCATGGGGTCAGTGCTGTACACAGACATGAAAAGAGAGAGTTCCTGCCTCAAGGAGCATGAAATCCTAAATGGAAATGGCTGCTGGGGAGCAGCAGCCCCCAGAGTTTAAATGATGTGCCCAGGGTCATGTTGAGTGTCTGTAGCAGAGTCAACAGTAGAACCCAGGCTGCTGGGCTGAGATCTGGGAGCCCTAATCGCAAGGTCGTGCTTCCTCTGTGGGGAGATGTTGGTTGCTAAAAGTGGGATCTGGAGGATATGACCACGTGAGGGAACAGGAGCTGCTCCAAGAGGCTTTCAGGCAAGCTCAGGCAGGTTGCTGCCCCTCTGTTTGCCCTCCCATTTTGTTTGGCAAATGCTCTGCACAATGCCTAGCAGGGACCTCTCATATAATACTGACAGTCCCTTGTATTGCTGTGCAGCGACAGCCCCCCATTTACCTTGCTGTACCTTTGCTAGTCAGTAATTCTGCATCTTCTCAGAGGTACTGGCGAACGCCTGACTCAGACAGTCTTAAGCCAAGGCAGGAATTGGAGAGCTCCCTCTGATTGTGTTGCTTTTGTCTCCACTCCAGCTGAGAAGGTAACTTCGCTGGGGAAGGACTGGCACCGGCCCTGCTTGCGCTGTGAACGCTGCAGTAAGACTCTAACCCCTGGGGGCCATGCTGAGGTGAGGACTGGGGACGTGTCTTGACCTGACTGACTGCCCGGCATTTATTTTCTCCCCCTCAAGCAGGCAATCCCCTTCCCCAGGCATGTGAAGGACTGAATGCAACCTCTAAAATATAAAATCCCCTCCAAAGGAGCCTTTCATGCCTCTGCTCTGTTCTTCATCTTGAATGCTACTCTGGAAGCAAAGAAGGTGTTTCATTTGGTAGAAGTTGGGTTGCACCCAGCTGGAGACCTTATTTGACCTGCTTGATGATGAATCCATTGATGGTGCAGATCACCTGGACAGAGGAGTGTGTATGGTAGGCTGGGGCTTGCTGAGGAGCCAGGAGTTGGTTTCTACTTGAGACCAGGGTTCTTGTGCTCCTGACCAGCATTACATCTTCCCCTTCCACCTCAGAGGGGCTTGTAGCCAGAACTCTGTATGTGATGCCCTATGCCAGGTACTTACTAAGCAGAGGCTGCGTTCTGACAGTATTGGGTTCCCTCTTCGCTCTTAGCACGGCCCATGCATCCCCAAAGCTAACGTGATGTGGCCAAAACCCATGTGTGAGAGCAGAAGTGTGAGCAATCCTGGGCCCTAATTGTTCAGCAAGACTTTTTCTGGCCATTCCTTCCCCCTGGATGCTGGAGCTTTGGGAGAGGGTTAGACACCAAACTCCCCTTCTCCAGATGTTGGTGCAGGCTCCTTCCTCTCCACTGAGGTACTTTTGCATTGTGTGGTCCAAGGTGCACCAAACACTTGGGCATTGGCTTCTTTCCAGAGGGGAGCGCACACTGAGGCAGTGCTCCTGACTCCACGGCATTGAAATGGGCACAGGGCTCATCCTGTGCTGTCCAGTGCTTGGGTTCTTGCAGGCAGCTGCCTGAAGTGGGCCCATGATTAGAGCTCCTCTTTAGCTAGGTCACTGGCTGTAGAAATGGGCAAGCAGTGCTGAACACAGTCCCAAGGCTTTCCTACCTATGTAGCCTTAGCCAGTACTTTCATTCCACTGCCTGCTGCCCCCGCATTTCATGACTTAGGCACCTATTCCTACTGCTTGTGGGCTTGTTCAGCAACTCCAGACTTGCCCACCAGAGGTCAGAGCAGATCTGAAATGAGAAACTAGTGCTAGTGATGGAGGAAACTTCTGCTGTGGGAAGGCTGGGATGGGAGGGAAAAGCCTGTGGTCAGCTATTCTGCTACTCCCAGCACAATGTTAAGTGGGGTGGGTGAGTGCCACTATGAGCAGCTGCCACTCCTGGGGGTTGGAGTGGTGCTGTCATAGGGAGAAAGAAGGCTAGGACCGAGCTGGGGTGGAAGCGTTTTTCTGCCTGCTTCTGTCCCACAGCTCTGTGTGCCCTTGGGCATGCACAGGGGAAGCACTAGACAGCTTCCAGGTCAAGCAGCATTCTTTTCCCAGGGTACCAGTGCAGGTGGCACAGGATGCTGGCAGCTCCCTGGTGGCTCCACAGCTGCCCTGCTGTGGCTTGGGGAGGGGGGCCTAGGAGGGTTACTAGGACAGTCCCCTGTGTCTGTTGAGTAGGGTCTGTGCTGATGCGTTTCTCTTCTCCTGCAGCATGATGGACAACCCTACTGCCATAAGCCCTGCTACGGGATCCTCTTTGGGCCAAAGGGTAAGTGTGCTGCATGGAATGAGGACTATTGGAGAGGGGTCACAGAACTGGGGGAGAGAGGAGACTTCCAGGGGTCAAAGGCAAGGGCAGGAAGGGTGCAGGAGGGCCAGCTGCTGCTCTTGGTGGCTGTGGGCTCTGTCTCTTCACAGTGTATAGCACTTGAACATGCATGTTAACATGGCCTGGTGTGTAGCATTTGGACACGCATGTTTGTATGGTCCAGCTAGACAGGTGGTGGTCAGCAGGGCTCTGTGTGCAGTCAGCAGCTCCACAGAGCAGGTATAAGAGTGGAGTAAGGCAAGGTTCCCAAATCTTGCTTGGTACATACAGACCCAGGTGAGGTGGGTGATGACCTTGCTGAGCTGGCTTTGGAAGGGGAAGACCCATTGGACTAAATGGGTGTTGTGCGTGTCGCTGTCCTAGGATTTGGTGAGTAGAGAGAAGATAGAGTAGGGGTAACCTAACTCTCTCAGAGCCTGGGGCAGGGGGTCCCCCAAAGAGCTTGGCTAGTCAAAGGTTTCCTAGTTCCTTAGAGACGGCAGTATCCAACAGCTGTGCCATAGGTAAATATGTTCCCTAATGTGCAGCTGCCCTTCTCCCTCTGTGGTCAGCGAGTCTTGGACTGTGGTGTCAGGTCCAGCAGGGTGAACTGGGAGAGCTCCCTTCATGCAGGGAGAGCAGATTCAGACCATGGAGCTAGCTCCTGAGGAAGGAGGGACAAGCTTGTGTCAGTCTCCTGCACTGGGCCTTCTGGCTTCCTCAGTCCCCATCTTCCATGGCTGCTCTTTCATCCTTAGAGTTCTGCACAGGGTCCCCTGCCAGGTCTTTGGGGATATATCTGCCCTCCATGCCCTGCCCAGGTGTCTCAGCCCTACCCTGACACATGGCTTTGTCTCTGCTGCAGGAGTGAACACTGGAGCTGTGGGAAGTTACATCTATGACAAAGACCCTGAAGCAAAGAACCAGCCCTAGGAGGTTCCTTCCTATCTGCCCACCACAGGCCACTCGCACTGCATCCTCATTACTAAATTACTGTTTGTAGAAGTAGCTTAGCTCGGTGATGGTGAAGTCCCGCATTGGAGCAGACCTTAGCCCGGCTGGTCACAGAGCTGTGCTCTCTCTGCTGTTTGTATTCTGGGCAGGGTGGCCCTGCCTTCCGGATTTTATAATATAGTCTATAATATAAGCTTTGATGTTTAAAGGCAAAGGTAGAAAGCATCTCTCTGGTCACTCCCAACATGCCTGACTCTCTCCTAAACCCTCCGTGGGGTTCTCTGTTGACCCCTATGCCCTCATTTGCATCCTAGGCAGTGGGTGAGGGTTGAGGGAGAAGTTTCATGGGCATAACTCTTAGTCACCTGGCACATCAATTTTAAACCCTCTCCAAGTGGTCTGACCATGTGGGATGTTCTGGGGGAAGGAGCCTTGCCTGGGATCCAGTTTGCAGTCCTGATGTGATCCACAGCTAGTGCAGGCACTTGCTGCACTGCCACTTGAAGAGTGCTGAATTCCAGCTCGTCCCTATTGAACTGTGGTCCCAGAGCAGTGTGAGACTTGGCTGTTGCTCCTGGCTATGAGGTTAGAGGAGCTTGCTGATCAGGGCACAAATCACTGCAAAGCGGGGTGGGGCAGCCTGTCACCTACCACACTTGCATCCTGCAATCCAAAAGTACCAGTTGGTCTGCATGGGAGCACCTTGTACTGTGAGCATACAGTTTAATCTTATTTTAGGCGGTGCCTAGAGTGCCAAGGACAAAACCTTCTGGAATGAGCTTGGGAGAAAGCTATAGGCCTAAATTCCCACCTAGGCACCAAGCAGATACAGTTAGGATAAGATGTTATCTCAGGGGCTTTCAACAGCTCAAGTGAAGGGCTTTGTGGCCTTCCAGCTGTGTCTGTCATCCCATGGCTTGCTGGCTTTCTAGGGCAGAAGGTCTGGTCAGTGGCTATACAGCTCGGGAAGTGCTGTGTTATCTGGGAGTCAGTGACCATCACCACGTTTCTTTCCGAGGTAATGCTCTGCTATGTCATTTGGCAAACTGTTGCCTCATTCTCTTCACCAGGCAGCTGTACTGGGAGCTTGGATTCTGCGGGAACCAGCCCTCAGTATGCCAACCCTGTGTTCTTTCCCAGCAGTGGGGGGAGTCCTCTGTGTTGTGGTTACGTCCCAGGGGAGGATACCGTGCCGCTGCTTCTGAGTGTTGTTCTGCAAGGACGGGTCAGTAGGTGGTCTCTGGATTCTAGTAGCTGTGCTACCCAGTACAGCCTGGTTTGTAGGAAGAGTGTGTGACTGCAGCTCACATCCCTCTGAAGTGGCACTGGGCATGAAGGTGAGCACTGCAATCTAAGCTGGTCTGGGAGGGAGCAATCCCAGTGGTACACAAGGCACCATGTCTTCACCATAGGGGATCTCTCCATTTTGGATGCCCAGCAAGCCAGTGAGGGCTGTAGGGAGAGTCTGGCAATGTTGGGGCCGTGGCTAGGAAACACCTGAGTATTGTGAAATGTACAAGGGCTCCTGTCTCTGCCTGCTTTGAAGAGACTCATTCGTGGTGTGTGGTTCTTTTTATTTCTTTGTTTATTTATAAGCAGATGTAAATGTGCTTCCTGCTTTAGAGAATGATGTACACTTCCCAGGTAACCTCCCTCCCTTTATAAATGCCCCAGCCATTGCATTGCCCTACTCCTTACCTGCTAGGCAGGTAATGGTAGCAGAGCCACAGACCATGTGCTCTGCCTCCAACCCAGCTGGGCACACTAGGTTAAGGGGACTTGCCTTGCCAACAGCTGTATCCCCTTCAGGCTCCTTTCCACCAGAACACCCCCTTCTCCCACAGTGAGACAGCAAAACTGACTCTTTTTGTTATTTGCTGACAATAAAAAGTTTTGAAAGACAAGCAGTGTGTTGTGAGTATGTGGAGGAGGGGTAGGGGAGGAGAGGGGAAGTATGCACTCTTCCTAGTCTGGCACTTGGGCTTGCTATGCAACAAGCACTGAAGGTGGGAGATGCTTTTCTCCCATTGGGTGACCTGTAGAAGCAGGAAGACAATGGCTTAGTGCGCTTCCTGGCTGCTGTGTGATGGACCCCAAGATCCAGAGGATTGCATGTTGGACTGGGAGGCTCTACCATGGGTTCTGTTCCTCACTCTACCACTGGCCTGCTAGGTGACCTCAGGCTAGTTGCTTTGCCCATCTGGGTAGGTATGTCTGCACTCCAGACTGCGATGCAAAGAAGAGATGGCTAGGGTAGCTTTTAAACCAGCTAGCTTAGGTATGGGTGGCAGGCTATCGGGATAAATTTAGCCCATAATAACCCTAGGCTGCTATGATTAGACTGGGAGTGTCTACATGTGCAATTAATGTGATTGTATATACTCTGCCTCAATTTGAGCTGGAGTAAACCAATCCTGATGTCACCATCTACACATGTATTTACAGTAATTTACTGTGTTGCCAGATACTACTTGTATCTGACAATACTATCCGGCAGCTCAGTAAATTAGTCTACTGTGCCCGAATTGCCATGTATGTATAGATGGTGACACTTTGCTTCACATCAAATTAGTCTGCTACGCAGTAAGGTGTCTTGTGTAGACACGCCCACTGGTAATTAAGCCAAATAGTTGAATTACTTCTGGTGTGTCTATACTACATAGCCCCTGGTCGATGAGCTCGGCTGTGGGGGAGCAACCCCCCAGTTGCTGACTGGTCACCGGGGGGGGACGACATATGCCCCCCCAACTCAGATGGCACCAGTCGCCCATGCCTGTGGATAACTAGTGTGCCTGGTTCAGTACAAATGTGGTCTGATAAATGACATGACAGGAGCAGGTCTCTCTGTCATTTTTTTTTTTAATCCAGGTTCTTCTGGCTAGTTGGGAGGACGAGGAGGATTTATACAATGCTAGGGTTGGAAGGGACCTCAGTGATCACTTTACCTAATCTCCAGCAGAGGTGTAGAATTTGCTGTTCCCAAACCACTCCTTTCCCCACACAAGCATGAATGGAGCAGTCAGGGTCTCAGCTGGAAGCCTCCCCCTTTCCAGGTGAACCCTCTACCATTTGAACTGTTCCAAGGTACCTTGATCAGCTGTTATGGGCCAAGAAGACGCAATCTGATTCTCAGGGGAACGGTCCTGCACCCTTCATGGAGCAGAGCCCTGGTTCATAGAGTCATCTGGATCCTACCACTGTTGGCATCTGTGGCATAGCAGTAGTTGCATATCTTCTTGGGAGCCCTTTGTTAGGATACTGAGATTGTAGCTGCCTGCTGCTTCCTTTCTGATGTTTTGAAATGTGCAGAATCTCTGTTCTCAAACTGCAGCCAGAAGTGTTGGAAGGAACTAGGTTACCTGTAGCCTGAAGGTTTGGCTTGGGGAAGTGAGGTGGGGATAGGGCAGTTGTTGCTCTTCTCTGGATGTCTTGTGAGCAGGACTGTGCTGAGAGTCTGACCTCTGTATTTTCCCAGCCAACCTATACATGAGAAGTGAAGAGGACTGAGGTATCTTGGCTTCATGTAGCCTAACACACATCCCCCTCATCTAGCTGGCTAGAGGCTTACACGATTTGCCTGAGATCTAGGAACTAGAACAGCAGGGTCAAAGCTGAAAGGGCACTTGGCCTGGCTGTGCTGGGGTTGAGTCATTGGTTTGGTAACTTCCTTAATGAAGAGACCATGGCTACAGAACTTGTGTATATCCCCAAACTTATTCTGAGGGCCAGGAGCGGTCATTTGGGTTCCTGCTCCAGGTATGTTCTTGGGCCAGGCTCTTGGGTGAAAGACAATTTGGCTGGTCTGCAGGGGACCTCTTGACTGTGACCAGGGAATTGCACTCTGAGAGGAGAGAAAGTTGGTAGCCTAGGTTGGAGTGCTTATTGTGAATTCTTCTCCCACTCACTTAAATGGAAGGGGTCTGTCCATACTGTTGCTTTGTTTCTGCTAACAGCATAGGACACGCCTATCCTTACTGTCCCTTCTTTTATCCTCCAAGTTATTTCTTTCCCATCACTGCTTTTGGTGCAACTGAGGTCAGGCAGGCAATAGAGTTCTTTGCTTGGATGCTTTGCTCCATGACAGTCCTGGGACACTTCCAGTTCTGTGTACATCATAGTCGGGGTCTCTTGCACAAGCAGAATAGGGTGGGTCTGTAAAGGGCAGTCATTTGCTTTCTCCTGTACTGTGGGTATCTCTTTTCCTGCTGGAAGCAGACATCTCGTGATCTGTGCAAAAACTGTGATTTAGCTTAATACAGAGATGTTATGTTGTGGGAGACCTGGATGCAGCTGGCAATGTCACAGTGGGAAACTGGGATCATTGTGTCCCTTCAGGAATGTAAAGCAAATTGCTGGACCCCAGCTCTATTTTCTTTTCTTGGATGAAGAGCAAAATCTCTCCTGACAGGATTATTGACCAACCAGAGCAAACTGAAACTGCTGCTCTAGGGCCCACCATGAAATCTAAGATTGGATCCAGCAGCACTAAAAAAAAAACACAGGAGGAAGAGTACATCAGCTAGCCACATACCCCTGGGAGCTGCTTTCTTACTGGCAAGATTTAAAAGCTACTGCCAGCCCCAGCATTAGACATCAAGTAACACTATTCCCTGTAGGCGCTTGAACTCTGGAAACTATGCAGTGCTGCTAATTAATGAAAACCACAGCTGCCAAGCCAAGCAGGGGCTATGGGAACTTCTGCTACAGCTAGTCTCAGGCTGCTCCTTGAAAGAGCTTGTGGTCATTCACAGACTGTTCCAGTGAACTCAGAGAGATGTTATCACAGATAGTGCACTGTGCTTCTGTGATACTGAGGTGCAGAATACTTTGACTATGATTACTCCACAGCCCTGGTGCCACTGAACAGGGCCAATTCCACCTGCCCCCTGCTTTATATGTGCCCAACCTAGTAATGCAGCTGTGAAGTCTCTCTGGGGCACTCCAACAGGTGTACTCAACCATTGCAGAGATGGATCTGGAGAGCACCTGCAGGAGGACAGCTGGAGTGGCTTCACAGGTGCATTTTGGGTGGGGTTTGGTGCATGTGTAGGCAAGGCATGCTTGAAAACAGCCCTCTGTGGAATTGCTGGGTTCATGGTGTAGCTATACTGTGTGTGCGCGTGAAGTCCCCCTTTTTACCAGTTGCTACAGCCAGTAGTGTAACTAAAGAAGGGGGAAGGGGCACTGAGGGCAGCAGCCCCAGGTGCCAGCTTGAAGGTAGGAGTGCATAAACAGCAGCCATGGCAGCTGCTGCCCTGCCATCACCAGCAGCCAAGCTGCCTTCGCTGGCCCATAGAAATGCCCTGTTGCACCTTTGGTTACAGCCTGAGTTAGGGAGCCTTTGCTTTTTAGCTCAAGGTAGATTTTCATGGTTTTAGTCCTAGAAGTCCCCAGTGAGTCAGCCAACAATGTGGCCATCGCACTGACCCTGCAGTGTAGGATTCTGTGCAGGGATTTCTGGACACATCCATGCATACTTGCATCACTTGTGCATACAGGGGGCACACATGCTGTCTTGTTTTCCCCTCCTTGCATGTATGGGAGCTGGGGAGGAAAATCTTTCACAGCCAATGGCTTCATGGCAGTATGCAGTGGGAGAATTGGCCCTATTGGCCAGAGGTGGCCTAAGGGGTTGGTGCAGTGGGTGACTGCCCAGGGTGCTGTGGTCAGGGGGCACCACGCATATGCACATGTGCACACATGTATGAGCAGCCCATGCTCACAGCAGTGCTCTCCCCCTGGGTGGGGGGTACCAAAATACAAACTTGCCCAGGGTGTCATTTTCGTGAAGGCTGGCTCTGCTTATGGTCTATAGAGTTTGTGGCTGAATCTCTGCACTGCTGATGTTGGTTGTCTCTGGTGCCCACCAGGGCATGAGTGGCTGCTTCTCAGCCCTGTAGAAAGTGCTGCCCTTCAACCCTGTGCCAAGTGGATATAAAACCCTACTTGCACATAGGTTGTTCCAGCTCTTTAAACTCATGTGAGCATCTGATTTGGTGGCAAGGTAAGGGAGTGATGAGCCATTGTAACCAGCCAATGGTGTAAGATGGTCAAAACTGGTCTGAACTGGTCTAACCCAGTAAAAACAGGTTTAAAGTGGCCTGAACTGGTTTAAAGCAGTTTAGACTGGTTGAGACTGCTTTAACCAGTCAGATGTTTTAAGTTCCCCAACAAGTGGCCTATTGATTAGTTAGCAGCCTACCTGGGAGCACTGGTAGATCTTGGAGTATAGTCAACTCTTCTTCCTATTCAATTAAACTCCATGCAGGCTTTGGCTGAAGGTCTCTGCAGCCACATGTCTTGGTTATGATGGGCCAGGGCCAGGTCAGTAGAGCCCTGTCCCTTTGGTACCTCATAGATTTGGCCAATATGAGGAGTTGTCCCTTTATTATTTTTCATTTGCATATTTTATTCCTGTCTGAAAAATGTAGAGACAATGTTTTAGAATTTATTTTTTAATCATCAGTTTTTAATGTGTTCATGGATACAAAAGCTTTAGATTCCATCATCTATGGCTTGGCATTAAATGTTGCTCATGTGGGTTTTGTTGGTTGGTTGTTTCCCCACTTTCAGAAGGGAAATGGCTGGATCCCCTCATTTTTCCTTTCTCTTGGTAAAAGATTGTCTGCTTGAAGAATCTCTTTTGAATCGATTTTAAAAAGCTGCTCCTCACAAACTTTTGCACTGTTAAGAAACTGAACCCCTCCCTCTTTGCCCTTCTACCTCAGATCCTTCAGCTGAAAGCCAAAATATTTCAGAGTTGAAATGTCTAGGTAGTGTCCCATGACTGGTATAGTTCAGGTTCCCCACACTCTGTATTATGGGCCAAGTTTCTTGAAAAGACCATGTCTTCCATGGTGCATTTCAACCATGTGACTATTGGGATGCTCCTTTCCACCAACAG